TTTATTCAAGACACCAGAAAAGCAATATTTTGCTATGATTCTAATCAATAAATCCATGGTACTAAAACTAAATATATATATTCCCCCATTGTCATATAACTACTCAAAAATTTTGTGTTTTTTCTTCTGTAGATAATAATAGTATCCCCATTTGCTGTGGAAAATTCCTCCTTCACTCTTAGAGGCTCAAGGAAGCTGACAATAAGGATACATATAATTATCAGCAAGAGCCCCACACTCCCACCAAAGGAAAAGGCATTGTTTCGGAAATAAACTGTGATCCTGTGTCAGGAAAATAAAACTTTAAACCCAAGAGATTTTTTCTTTCTTTTTTTCTTTTTTTCCTGTCAGAACTTGTGGGAATACTCTTCTTTCTGGGATTGAAGTATGAGAAAACAAATATGTTTGAGCTTCTGACATATACTTTTCCCTCACCTTATAGAGAAAGCAAATATGGGAATCCAGAGATGAAAAGAATAAGAGAAAACAAAGAGACATGAGCAAGAGAAAGGTAAGAGGGAAGGAAAGAGAAACAATAAAGAAATAAAGAAAAATAGAGAAAGAATGAAAAAGAGACAATGATGGATCCAATGACATCATTAGATGTAGCCAAGATGGCCACACATGCAGCTTTACTCCTAGACAATTCAGTTAGAAATGCCAATAAACTGTCTTTGTTGTTGCTTTTACTTCTGTAACTACCAACTCAGTGAAACTGGATTAATCCAGAGACCCTATCTAATTTTTTAATTAAATAATTTATTTATTTGTTCTAATTTGTTATACATGACAGCATAATGCATTTCAATTCATTGTACACAAATGGAGCACAATTTTTCATTTCTTTGGTTGTACACAAAGTAGAGTCACACCACTTGTGTCTTCATACATATACCTAGGGTAATGATGCTCATCTCATTCCACCATCTTTCCTACCCCAGTGCACCTTCCCTAATTAGTTATACATGACAGTAAAATGTATTTTGACACATGATATATAAATTAAGTATAATTTCTCATTTTCCTGGTTGTATATGATGTAGAGTTACACAGGTCATGTAATCATATATGCACATAGGGTAATGATGTCTGATTCATTCTACTATCATTCCTACCCCTGCGCCCCATCTCCTCCCTTCACTACCCTCATTCTAGTCCAAAATACCTCTATTCTCCACCCCCTCCATTATGAATTAGCATCCACATATCAGAGAAAACATTTGGCCTTTGGTTCTTTGGGAGTGGCTTACAGGCAATTCTGATGCATCATAAAAAATACTGATGTAAGACATAATTAGAATTTCATTCTGTTATAAAAACTTACTGTAGAAAATAGCTTAACATTGAATATGACAAGGAATTGTTTTAAAAATAACAAGACTTCAATGGAATATTGTGTGATTTAAAAACTGATGCAATGTGTCTACTGACATTGAACAACATAATTAAATATACATGAATTGCACACACATAAAATGATGCAATTCCATTTTTTGTAAAAAAAATACATATACACAAATATATAAAGAATACAATTTATGTTTGTTATTCTGTGGATATTTTTGTATTGCTTTATTTTGCTCCTTTGGTGTTATTGTTTAGATATTAGGTGGCCCCCAAAAGCTCATATGAGATAATTCAAGAAAGTTTAGAAATGTAATGACTGAGTTATAAGAGATTTAACATGCTTAGTGCATAAATCCCTTGATAGGGATTTACTGAATGGTAATTGTAGGCAGGTTGGATGTGGCTAGAGGAAGTCAGTCACTGAGGGCATGACTTTGGAGTTTATATTGTCCCTAGGGAAGAAAGTGGGCTCTCTGCTTCCAAATTCCATGTCCTGAGCTGCTTTCCTCCACCACACTCATCTGCCATGATTTACTGCCTCACCTCAGACTCAGAGCGATGGAGTTGGCTATATATGGACAGAGACTTCTGAAATCATGAACCCCAAAATAAACATTTCCTCCTCTCATTGTTCTTGTGAAATCTTTAGGTCACAGCAATAAAAAAGTGAATAAAAAAGAAATTGGTTCTGAGAAGTAGGGTCCTTGTGACTAATGTGACCATATGGTTCTGTTAAGGTGTGAACTGATAAATACAATCAATAAGAATGTAAGTTATAGGTTACGGAAAAAATATAGATTATAGATATAAGATTTTGATAAGTGAGATAAGACAATTATAAAGCAAGAACTTTCATAGACAGGTCTAAGACTCCATTTTGGTGTCTTCTATAAAAAACTGTTACAAGAGCTGTTTCTGAGAAACTGAAATGAAAGCTGTTTTCTTATTTTAAAAAGTGTCTTTCTGTACTTTGTACCCCTTAAATTGTACCCTACTCAGGATGCAGGAGTGGTCGAGGTGAACTACATCCTGGGTTTGAATGCCCTTGTGGGTCTACATGACTTTGAAGAAGATTCTCGCCCCAGTGACCCCCGCCCACATTCAGGATGTGACTGTCTAACACCTGCTTGAACCCAGGGCTGTGGTCAACTGAACTGCAAAGCTAATGCTCTTTTTGGCTTCTGTTTATCACTTGCTTGCTGACTGGAAAATTCCAGTCCTGCATAGAGCCCACAGGTCCCGCTTATTAATGTTTTAATTTCAATGACTGGCTAGCTTACATGACGATAAGCAAGTCACTGAGTTGTGGTTTTTGTGATTATATTCTCTTTGGATAGACAAGGAAGCTGCTGTCCTCCTACAGAGTTTGAGTCTCTGCAGTGGGTGACAGTCGCTGGCCAGGTAAATAAAACTCTCTTTTGATTTGAATTTGGACTTAGAGTGCTTTCTGAGGTGTCTCCCCATAACAGTTCAGAAGTTTTTGGAGCTTTTTAGATTTTGTGGAAGCAACTTTAAAAAGTTTAGAGATGCAAGCTGGAAAAGTTTGAGAATGTTATCAACAGCTTAATGGGTGTTTCTGTGTGAGCTCAGAAGACTAGAATGCCAATAGGAGTATGAACAGTCAAGACAGGGTTCATGAGGTTTCCAAGCAGAAGGACTTTATTGGAAATTAGACTAGAGACCATTCATATTCTGTTCTGGCTATGAAGTTGTGTACATTTTGCCAGTGTCCTGAGACTTTCTGTAAGGCTGAATTTAAAGGTGATGGACTTTTTAATCTGGTGGAAGAAATCTGTAGGCAGCATAGCATTCAGGTCGTGGCATGGATATTGCTGGCAGCTAGCCAAATTTATTGTGATAATTAGGATCAGAAAGTGAAACAGGAAGATTTAAAAAACTTAGTTTGGACAGAAAAGTGTTTTAAGTAAACTTGGGGCAAAGGAAGGTATGGGTAAAGATATTATAGCTATCATAGAAACACTAAATACTTCACCAAGAAACAATAGTAAAGAAGCCTTTTTTAAAATAACTTTATTTACTTTTATGTAGTTTTGAGGATGGAACCCAGTGCCTCACATGTGCTAGGCAAGTACTCTACCACTGAGCTGTAACAACCCCAGCCCAAGTAAAGAAGTCTTGATGAAATCTCAGGAATTGGCAAGACCATACCTATCTCAGGCTTAATGGTGTAAAAGTAAAAATTCCCTTGAGAAGAGACCAGTGGGCCCCCCTGCTTGCACAGAGTAGCCTAGGAAATTGTTTTATTACACTCAGCCAACTAGGCAGGCACTCAAAGCCTGTTGAAGCCATGGTCCTAGAAGGCTTAGCTACTGATCAAGATGGCAGCAGACACTGGCATCAACCATGTGGTACATCAACTAAGTTCCTTTATATATTTGATACATGTAACTTGCTTTTGAATTTTACAGGGCCTCATGCTGAAAGTGTACTACAAGTTTCAAACGAGACTGTGGACTTTTGGGCAATGCTAAAATTGCTGACTATAGGGGCTCTTGAAAATGGACTAAATGTATTTTTGCATTGCAAAATGGGAATGAGTGTGTGTGGGCTCACACGGAATGTTATGGTTTAGATATTTGGTATCCCCCAAAAGCTCTCTCTGCTTCCCAGTTATAAGTCCTGAGCTGCTTTCCTCAATACCCTTCTGCCATGACATAGAGCCCAGAGCAATGGAGTCAGCCATTTATGGACTGAGATCTCTTAAACTGTGAGCTCCAAGATAAACTTTTGTTCTTCTAAAATTGTTGTTGTCAGATCTTTTGGTTGCTGCAGTGCAAAGACTGACTAAAACATCTTGCTCACCTGCATTATTTTTATTTCTGAAAGACTATGTATTGTTATACATTTTTTTAAAAACCCCAAGCTTCATTTTGATGATAAAAAAAAAACTTCAAATAATATATAAACTTTAAACTAAATGACATTTTATTTTGAGAAAGAGTAAGTATGGCAAAACTTTAATATGAATCTAAGTAAAGGATATATGAATACTAATACTCAAACAACATTTTCATTAGTTTGAATTTACCAAAAATTAAAAAGTTGTGGAGAAATAAGATAAACAAAGTACTTTAGAATTTGGCCCATCTCCCAGAAAAAGCATTTTATTTTATATTAGGGTGACCATTTGATAAATAAATAAATACATAAACCCTTTAAAATATTTTAATTGTCAATTTACATAGGTTAAACCAAAAAAATTACCTAAAATAATAAAAATAAATATGAAAACATAGACAGATGGATTGATAGATAGATGTAAATATATAATTTTGAATTTTATTTAAAATATTTTAAATATATTAAATATATTATTTTTTGAATTTTATTTGAAATTATTTTTTAAATAAAATAAATTATATTTTAAATATAATTAAATACACACACACACACACATATATATATATATATATATATATATATACATATATATATATATATTCAGTATACAAATGGATATATACATGGTTTTGAAAAATTTAAACTTCCATGGTGTTCTTTAGTAATCAACCATTTATGTCTCTGATTTATATTAGGAAGCTACTTTTAAAAATAATTTTTTTCCAATATAAGTTCATTTATAGTACATAGCAAGCCTCAAAAATATCAACTCTATAAAAGGTTTATCTCACCTCATCTAAGTCTTGGATATAAACTGGCTTCTCCTCTAAGCCAATTGGCATTGGTTCACTATAGGGAATCCTTACTTCTTCATAAAGCTTGTTATTCTCTCTTTGGATTCCTTCTGGTAAAATCATCTATAAATATCAAAATAACAATTCAGAATTTAAAAAAAAACAAAAGAACTTCTCTGGTAAAGATTTTTTAATGAGAGAAATACAGAATGCTATTGGTTTTAAGACATAGTCCTGGCAAATAAATTTAGCTAATTTAAAGAAAAACAAACCTAAATGAAAAATAAATAAATAAAAACCACACTCCATTATTATGTCAAGTATCTTATATGACATACAGGCCACAGTACATTGACGAATCTTAAAGTATACATTAACTACATTGAAGACAAATGTACTCATACAAGTAGGATAGCATACAATATATGGTATAAAGCTTAGTCAAGCAATGATATAACTGATAATATTCAAAATTATAAATTTCAACAATAATGAAAGAGAAATGAAGAAATATTGTCTGAATACTTACTATATGTCAGAACTTTATACAGATTGTAATATCTCATATACCACCCTATTATTTTAAATATTTTAGCATAAACTAATCAACTTGCACTGTATTCACAAAGGAAACAGGGAAAGCTATGTGTCATTGCCTCAGAAAAAACGTATTTCCAAGAGTTGTTGTTATAAACCAATGACATACCTTTGCACCAGCAATGAATGCTGATGTTTTCCTGGCTTCAGCCTGGGAATCATAAACATGGGGATAATGAATTTTTTCAATGTCCATGTCTCTCTGCCTGCTGAGAATTGGAACACTTCTAGCATTCAGAAGTGCCTGCTCTCTGAAAATACAAAAAATGGCAGGCCAAATTTGACATTTTTATTTTGAAAAGGAAAGCAAGGTCATTATAATAATTACTTCTGGTGGCATTCCATTATAAAGAAAAAAAATAAACTACAAAAACAAAGATATCAGCAACTCAAAAATTTGGGGGGTAACCAAATAGGATTTAGCACATTTTCTATTTACTACTTTTAAATACCATTTAGTAAATCTGACTTATTGTTCATTCTTTATAGTTTTGCATTTTCACAACTCGAAGATATTTTCAAGGTAAAAATTCCTTTTTGGAAAAGTTACAATAATTAAAACATCAAGTGCAATAATGACTTCATTTCATTTTCCTCCTTTCTACTTCTAGAGAACAATACACACAAATAAAAGTATAATTAAGTTGGGAAGAAAACAAAACCCTCAAAATAAATGTAAATAAGTTTTCTATAACTTCATTGACTGGAATATGTGTAGCAACTAAAAATAGCTTACCTCTGTAATCTAAATCTCTCATGGATGTGAATGCAACCAATAATATTCTAATTAGCAGATGACTGTTTTTTCCCCAGAAAATTTTTATTCAATGAAACTCGTTGTTATAAGAAAATGGGACTAAAAGAATCTGCCAAATTGCTAAAATCACACTAGAAAAATATGTAAAAGTATTGATTATAAACATGTGTTTTTCAGATTCTTGCTTTGATTACCTGTGTATCCGCAGTTCCTTAGGATCAAAGCCCATAAGTCCTTCTCCAGAAACTTCTCCATCTTCTCCAGTCTTTTTTTCTCGTCTGGCAATTCGTTTTTCTTCACGTCGATATTGTTTCATTAACTGCTTTTCTTGTTCGGACTGAATAGTGACTTGACAACCATAATTAGGTTTGGTATTCTCTCCTAGAACTTTTTTGCAATTGTCTACAAGGCAAATTTTCAAAATATAATGGACTACACATCTCTGAGATCATTTAACCATTATGAAAACCATTTAATTTCTCCCTAAAAGAACATGAAATAGCATAATGCTCTTATCATTCACATTGGAAAGTGGGCATATTCAATTACATAATTTAGGAATAGGTTTCTTTTTAAAAATTACAATATTTAATATTAGCTAATGGCTTAAGAAAAGTCAGTAAGATTTACTTCCTATAGATTCAATAGTTAATGTTACTAATAGTTTAAATTCTTACATATAAAATCAGGAGCCTGTCAGCGGTAGAGCGCTGGCCTAGCATGTATGAGGCGGTGAGTTCAATCCTCAGCACTATATAAAAAAATAAATAAAACAAAGGTATTGTGTCCAACTACAACTAAAAAAAAAAATTTAAAAAAATCAGGAGCCTGAAATCCAATTTTGTGATTTTGAAATAACTTGTTTATATTAATTTAAAAAATAATTATTAATACTAATTAGCACTGTTAGATAATACTAAAATAAAATTATATATTAAATAATTTTTCCTATGTAATACACTTTATTCAGTTAACTTGTATATATGTAACTATTCATACTGAAATAAACATAAGTGCAGAACATACTTCACAAAACAAATACAGCAAGAGCAAAGTCTACCTTTTCATGAAAATAAAGGCCTTTAAAAGAAGGGAAGAAGGTCAGAGTCACTAAGGGGTACCAGGTCGATCAAAACTCAATGTCTACAAAGTATAAATTAGATCTGTGGTTTGGTCAACTCAATATTCAGAACAAATTTTCTTCCAACAGGATCCAAGTTAGTAAGCTTATTTTACTGAGGATACTACATCCTAGGCACTATTGCTAAGCTAGGAAGACAATGCAAGACTTGGCTAATACTCTGCCAAGCACAGCCCAGGTTACTTTATCAAATTCTAAGCTGCAATTCTGAAAAAAGAAGGAATTAAACACAGTACCAAAATAGGAAAATTTGTTATCTAATTCATTCTAAGTCAAATATTCAAATATTACAGCCTCCTTACAGAATTGTTTTATTAGATGCTCAAGACAATACAATGATCTTGACATATCATATATTTGATTCAAATAGGATATGAATTCTCATTTTTCCACAGATTGCAGGATCACATTGGTTATACAGCCATGTATATACATACAACAATACTAGTGTCTGTTGTATTCTGCTGCCCTCCCTATCCCCCTCCACTTCCCATCACCTCTCTCTACCCAATCTACTGTGACACTTTCCATCCCTTTTTCCCCCTTCCCCCTCACACCATCGTATATGTATTTTGTGTAAAGAATTTTAATGAGTCATTTATCTATCAATCACATGAAATAACCCCCACTATAGTTCCCTAAAAAGGAAAGTGTGTCTCAAAATTACAAAATGAAGTATAAGCCCATGTATATTAGGATTAAAACTTAAAATTCTGAAAAACTATTTTCATTTTTAAGTCTTACATTTACTTTATTTAAGTCTTATATTTATTTTATTTCTTATTTCTAAGGAAGTCTTATGCACTTAATAAATTTATGATTAAATTTCAGTGTCAGAAAAAGAATGAGGCATTCTGACAGTTTTTACACATACTCTTAACTAAAAGAAAAGTGAAATTGTCTACAAAGCCACTCAATCAACAATACATATGTTAAGCAGAATGTATAAAATTTGAGTAATGCCATTTATTTATCAGAAACCAGAGTTAAACATTTTAAAGTGTGAAACCCCTTTGGATGACATACTAAATTCTATATACTGGTGTCATTAACATTTTAAGCAAATGTGACAGTAATTAAATACTACTATATATACTTACAATCATCCAAATAAGAAAATTAAAATTATAAGAAAATACAATGCCTCATTAAAAGATTTATAAGGTTTCAATCAAAATATACTAAATTCCTATAAGACTAAACATAATAATAATTTAAAAAATAAAGCAGCAAAAGCTTAAATGTATGGCTTTTCTTGTTTGGTTAGGCCAACTGTCGCAAATGACAAGCAGAAATGAAATAACCTTAATGGAAATACTAACAAAAAATTTTACTGAAGAACTATATAGATGATTATATCCTTTTAAAATGTAAATATAACAGAAAAATCCTGTATAACTACTCAAAATATTGTCACTTGATATTATGAACTAAGTTTTGATTTCATAATACACTCTCTATACCAACTCTGAAGACAGAATTTAATACACAAACTATCTTTATCTTAGAGATCAACTTCTCATTCACTCATGTCACTTCTCATTCACCTTACACTTACTGACTGTAAGAATAGAGCAGAGTAAGGTAGATGTCTGCATGAAAAAACTCAAATAAAATGAGCCTGAAATCTAGAAAATGCTAGATTTAAAAAAAAAACAAGCCATTGCTCTATAAGACAATGGTTTTGGAAAATACAAAAAAGAATATGGTTAATAATGGGCTCATTAAGGTACCTTAATAAAGAAAAAGTACAATTTGGTAGTTATGAGAGAATTTTGAAGGATCCCTAAATGCAAAACATCAAAATATAGACACAAATTGGGAACACTGGTAAAGTAACAAGCGTATAAAGATTCTTCCTTTTCCTTCAACAAAAATCTAAGGAAAAGAATTTTAATGCAAATACAACATAAACCTACCGAAGTAAATTTTTTAAAAATATGCTACCTTTCAAGTTCTATATTGTAGTCCTTAAAAAAAAACAAAAATACACTATTTATTCATTTAAATGCCTCAAATTTTCTAGTGCATACTCATCATTCTTAAATAGTTGCAATATTTAATAATGATCTACTATGGAATATGAGAGTAAAATCTATTTGAGAAAAGTGAAAAATCATTTCAGGACTCAAATATATTTAAATTTAGTACTTATTTTGCATTATAAAACTGTGTTGCTTCTAATAAGTTATATTAATAGAATAAAATTTGTAAAATAAATAGAATGAACATATACAAAACTCCTAACTCATCATCTAAAGCTTCCAAAAAAATAAATGTAACATTGGATTCATCTTTAACTTTCTATTAATAAATCAGTGCTAATATCCTAATAAAGCTGGAACCAAAGATTAATGGATTTATGTTTATGAATCTGGATAACAAGTCCTATTTTAAATGTAATCATAACACATCAAATCAAATAAATTAATTTTTTTTAAAAAAGAGTTAGAATCAGTAAATATCTCTATAATAACATTTAGGAGAATGACAAAAGAAATACCAAATTCTCAGAATTTACATCTTCACAGGAGTTGATATTTAACTCTGTCCCTTTCTTCTGGCAAACACCAATTTTAAAAGCTCCTAAACCCTGATGGGTTACTGCATGGAGTCTGATTATGCACTTTCCTATAGCCCAGAGCCTTCTTGGAGCAAGGAAGTTTAGAACTATTCAAATAACTTGAACCAAGACACTTGCAGAAAGATAGAGTTGCTCAACTCCAATCTTGGAAATTCTAACAATCTCAAAGCTCCAGGCTTCTAAGAACATTCATCAGTATTAAAGGAAATTCACAAAATATTTTGGATTTAAAGGCTATTTAGATGAAGTCTGTTTATAGTTTCCTACAGTGGCATAAACATAAAAAAAAATCAAATAACTTATATATAAGAAAAGCCAACATAGACAGATGTTCAAGGTATCTAATTTCTTGCGTTCATTCACTTTTTTTAATCTCAAACTATCCGTAAGGTTAGCAAAGTACATTGGAGTAAAAGTTAAAAAAAAATCTAATTTTCCTGCTTATCACTTAAAACCTGAATCTGGCATCACTGTGTCATATGTTAGGTATTTTTTTAAAAATAATTTTGGCTTCCTGTTTTTTATTTTACTGGGTTTTTAAAATACATGTAATACATGACACTATCGGTATGCAATTTTCTGAGTGTGATAACTGCAGTGCAGTTAAGTAGAAGCTGTCGTGTTCTTAGATATATTCTGAAGACAATTTATTTATTTACTTATTCATTCATTCATTCATTCATTCATACATACGTGGGCACTTTACCACAAAGCTACATATCCACCCTTTTATAACCTTTTTTTTGAGATAGGGTCTTCCCAAGGTGCTGCTGCTAGACTCAAGCCTGAGATTCTCCTGACTCAGTCTCTCAGTCTTCCTAGTCACTGGAATTACAGGTGTGTCACATCATGCCCAGATGCTAAATATTTTATAGATGAAGTATCATGATGCCTGAAACTTCCTATCTTTGTTCAGCAATGTATGTGTATCTTTAGAAAAAGGGCCAGGTGAAACAAACTGTTAATGACTAGTGAAAATACATGAAGGTTATGTAAGTGTGTATTATTCTTATACCTTTACTATGGCTTTGAAAGTTTTGGAAACAAAAACTTGGGGAGAAATTATAACACTGGGTCCATAGTTAATACAACATGTGTTTGCTTTAAAAATTATCTATTGTAAGTACTTCTATCTTTTACAAAACAATGTCATGCCCAAACACTGCAATATGTTCCTATTTAGATCATTTACACTTGTTTCATAATCTACCATACCTAAAAATCTAGTTTAGAGAATGATATCAGTAAATTATAAAAATGTCCAAAGGATAAAAAAAGTAATTATATTTTTAAAATTGGTTAACCAATGAATCTTTCTTTTAAATTAGTATTACCACTACATACTTTCTTACCTTGAAGAGCTTGAATCTTATGATCATTTGAAGAATTAAGAAATCGATCCACAATTGTAATTCTGTTCTGGAGAAGTTTCTCAATAAGATCAAGTCCTTCAGGTCCAAGCAATTCAAATAACTTATACAAAAAGAAAAATAAAATACCTGTTACCTCAAATTAACTTGTTCATGTTATTAACACTCTACTAAACAGAGGCATTCAAATTAATATAACATAAAAGTACCCGCAAAATTTAGAAAATGTAAAAAAATTTACATTTTCACATTGTTAAGGGGTTATATGCAATTACACCGTTAAAAATTATCATTTAATGTTTCAAAATAATTAAGATTTGAAGCCATAACTCTAAGTCACAGAATAACAAATTTTAGTGCTTGGCTTTTCTTTGGCATAAAGAAATAAAACTCTAAAATTAACTTAATTTGCTTTTTATCATATAATTCTGGTTTTCCCAAGTACAGCTGAGTGCTAGTGTTTTTATATCTTTCTATATTTTAGAGTCAAAGAACCATATGAGTGTTTTAGAGAATTGTGACTATTAGCCAACATTTGACATGTATTTTAAACATTTAATAAATCTGATATCTCAAACACAGTGCACAAATGCTTTATGTAATTTTATATAAATTTCCCATGCATATCTTAGTCTATTAGGCAGTTGCTGCCAAAAAAACTGAGCTGATTTCAGAGTCATAGAATCAGTGTAAGAGGTCAGAGATTTTGAATTATATAACCATATTATATAACTGCTCTAGAAATGCTTTAGATTTCTTCAAGTATGATCTCGGAATATACACTACTTCTTCCTTTTCAAAATGGTATACTTTAATTTTGCATGTGACTATGCTATATTAACCAAATTCTGCTATCAAAGAAACAACACAAATAAAATCATAAGATAAAAATTCATGCTGTGTATATATGAGATACTAAACAATGAATTATGTGTACAAAAGGAAAAATAAAATAGAAGAAACAAAATGAATTAAGGGTGCACTTATCTAGTAATTCTAAATATACCAGTAGCATTTATTGAGCATTTATGACATTTATTGAACATTTATTGTAGGAGAGATATTATGATCATCACTTGCTAATTCTATCTAACAAATGCTCTAAACAACTTTTCAAATTAAATACTGTTATTACTTTTGACCTTAGGAAAATTAAGCTTTAGAAAGTTTATGTAAATTGCTTAATGTTACACAGCTAATAACAGAGTTTTAAAATGATACATATATGAATGCAGTCATAAAGAATTTCCATTATACTATGGTAACACCTTTGACTGTTTTCTAGAAAACTGTTGTAATACAGAAATTGATATATTGTCCACAAAAGATACACTAGGAAATATAAAGATAAGAAATGAAGCTAATAAATTTTAAAAATTTCTAAAAGAATATTTTGGTTGAGTTCATCCCCAAAACAAAACAAAATAGACAAAAGAAAAATAAAGTTCACTGGACTGGACAAAAGAGAATGAAGGGAAGGTGGGGATGGGAGTAGAAAAGACAACAGAATAAATCAGACATCTTTCCTACCCTTATATATGAATACATAACCAATGTAACTCCACATCGTATACAACCACAATAATGAGATCATAATTGGAACAAGTTATACTTATTCTATGTACATATAATTATATGAAAATACACCCTACTATCATGTATATCTAGAAAGAACAAGTAAAACATAAAAAATATGAAAGCAAAAATAAAACTTGTGACATCATCCTACACACCCAAATACAACAATAGTATATGATAGTAAGGGATTAAGACAAAGACAAAGCCAATCATAAAAGAAAACCTAATATTCTCTCTTGCCCTTTCTCATCAGACTCCTTCAAAGAATAACTCATCCATAAAATACAGAATGTGGAATCCAAGGAATGAGTCTCTAAGACTCTTCAGGGGTCCATAAAGTCAACACTATTTTTGTAACAATATTTGGATGCGATGTACCTTTTTCACTGTTGATATTTGCACTGATGCTGCAAAATCAATGGGGGAAAGGTTTGCACAAATAAAGCCAGTGGTATCACACTGTCATGTAAGCACAGTTATAAACACAAGAGCCAATTTCACTCAAGAATACCATTAAGTAAAGTAATAACTACTAATTTCTTAAATCTCAGAAAAGCACATATCTTTTTAAATAATCTGCTGAACAAAACACTGACAAATGAAGTATGTATAAAATCACATCTGCCACACAACAGTATACAATAAAATATATGAAAGATAAGTGATAGTCAGATCATTTCATGTAACACCATTTTGATATGAGAGAATGGATGAAGTCTTCTCTAGTCTGGTTATTCAGACTAACATATTTGATAGTTTCTTAAAAATCAAAGAAGTGACCCTGCTATACCAAGGAAAAGAACTGGAAATATTTGCTGCCAGTGATAAAATTCAAGCTTTCAAGAGAAAAATCAAAATTCTGGAAAACTTGTATTCACCAATGAAAACCTGATCAGTTCCTAAAATTTAAAGATTTCTCTGATGAGATCAGTGGTGACAGCAATGAATTAGTACTATTTGTAATATTACATAATGAAAGTGTCTACATTAGGAAGACAGGTATAATTCACTGAATCAATTATTTTTCATAATATCACATATGATGCCAGTAAAATGAGAAGACAAACAGATTTTAGTGAAACAATTCATAAAAATTTCATTGTCGAACTTTCATATTTTCACCATAATTGACCTGTAAGAAACTACCATTTGTCAACTTTTAATATATCAAGAAAGAATACAAATAACTATTTTAAAAGGCTTTTAAGATATCATTCCTTTTTATGGTTGGAATTTGGTTCACTGGCAGAATGCTTGCCTAGCATGCATAAGACCTTGAGTTCAATCACTAACACTGCCAAAAAAAAAAAAAAAGTAAGATATTATTCCCTTTACTAACTACATGTCTGTGTGAGGCTGGGTTTCCTTTGTACACTTCAGCCAAAATATACATTATAGCAAACTGAAAGCAGAACCAGATATCAGATTCTAGCTATTTTTTATTAAATCATACATTAGAGAGAATGCAAAATAACACTACTTTTCTTTCTAAGTTTTCTAGTATGGAAAAACATAGTTAACTTTCATCCAACTACGCTAACTCTTAATAGGCTTAATATTTGTGAAAGTCAAAGCACATATATTTTAAAATTTTACTCAGTTTTAATTTCTAGTACATTCAAGACATAAACATTAGCAAAATCTCTTTGGAGTCCTCAATAACTTTTAATAGCATGAAGACATACTGATATCATAAAGTTCAATAACTGATGGCCAAGTCTACCACAAAACACATCTAAATGGTCTTCTCCTTATTTTATACCCATGTTTCTATAGCTTTTTTTATACCATGCTCATGTGGAAGATCTTAATATTTATAAGGCACACTGAAGTAAATGGACAAGTCTGCTGTGACCAAAAAGAGATTACTTGAGGATTCAAGCAGTCCTTGGCCTCAGACAACTGTCCTTTATTCACATAGTAGAATATTCTCTCCCATTTTTAATCCTTCAATGAATCATTTTTTATAAAGACAATCATCAAAAGTACTAGTTTTGCTTAAATAAACTAGAATAGTATTCCAGCCTACCTGTACCCAATTCAAAATCATGTGCCCTGACACACCAGTAGGAAACCTCTACTACATCCACACCCAAATCTGTTCATATTGTATACCATGGTTGAAAATCTTTAATACTGGGGCTGGGGATGTGGCTCAAGTGGTAGCGCACTCGCCTGGCATGCGTGCAGCCCGGGTTCGATCCTCAGCACCACATACAAACAAAGATGTTGTGCCCGCCGATAACTAAAAAATAAACATTAAAAATTCTCTCTCTCGGAATATGGCGGCGAGGGGAGTGCATTGCCCCCGTGTGCCGCGTCACTGTGTGGGAGAATGACGAGTCAGGAAGGCTTAAGGCTATTTTATTAGGAATATCCAGCAATAGTGGGGTGCTCCGGAACCTGGAGGAAGGATTTCCATCGCAGGAGGATCGGCTACGGGGACTCAAACACGAGAGATTTGTCACACGGAGGGTAACAATGCTTATTCAGCAAATCGCCCCACGGCTAGAGTATGCAGCGCGCGCTGGGAAACGAGGAGATAGCAACGCAGGGATACAGCGCTGCAGTTTCTGCCACCCGTGCAAAAACCGTACTCAGTGCTGAATTCTGGGTTCGAGACGGGGGAAGGAAGCGGTCCAATTCGGTTCTCCACACTGGTCAGACCACAGAGGAGGCCAGCGGCCACCATCTTGGAGAGCTGACGTCACCATCCCTGTTTTCGACTGACCGCAGCTCATTCAGCCATAGAACAGGTAATTTCAGGCTGCCATTCGCCTGCGGCTTGCAGACACATTACTCAGGCTCAGTGCTAAATAACCCGCGGAAAATGCTTCTTGGAGCATGCTCTTATCAGAGCATACACCGAGCACAGAGCGGCCGAGTTCCGGCTCCCGGAACTGCTCTGGCCCAGGGCTAAGGAGGCCGCGGAAACGGCTTCTCTGTCCGGGTCCTGCTGAGTACTGTGGAGGTAAATACCAACTGAGCCTTCGTGGGCAGTGGCAACAGGACTGAGACGGGGCCTGTGAGGGCTGGTCAGGACTCACCCGTTGCTTTGGTCACCCGGCAAAGGGAACGAAACGCTGCCATTCGCATAGGATACCAACATGGCAGAGGTCTGATGTCATCAGAAAGCGGCGGAGGAGAGAACTTCATCAATACCAGCGGCGACAGAAACAGTTGGTCTCCTGGTAGGGAGGGTGAGTCACAGACACCCGAGTCTCTCTCGCTTTGTCTTCGAGCCAGAGGGGAGGAGCCGGGCCGCCACCCGCGCCCGATGCAGGCCCAGCGGCTCACCGGCGTGGTGGTCGCGTGACCCCAATTGGAGAGGGGGCGGAGCGGAGCCGCCACCCGCACCCGCAAAGTGAGCAGACCTGTGACCCAGTGGTACGCGGGCATGGTAGGAGGGGCAGGGCAGAACCGCCGCCCGCGCCTGCAAGGTAAGCAGACCTGTGACAGACTGGCGGGTCAGGCCCAGTGGCCTGCCAGCGTGGTACACATGTCACCCCAACTGGAGTAGGGGCA